TCCCCTGTTCCACCCGTCAAATGAAGAAGTCATTTTGTAGTTTTTTTTAAAGCTTCAGCACTTTTTCGATACTACCGGATCAGTAAAATAAGATTATTTTGTTTTAAAAACGCGTTGTATCAAAGTGTTGACAACCTTAGTTACAGGCTAACAACCAGATCATGTGGTCATCGTCCTCACCGCTTCCTGAGGCCGTCACTCTCACCAAACGCCAGCCAGCAGCGACGTCACGCTCCTGCTTCTTTTCTCTTCCTCCTTTTTCGTCTTCCTCCTCCTCTCCTCCCTCCACATCACCTCCATCATCATCATCATCATCGGACTTATTTAGCTGCATGTTTAATTGACCACGACCAATATCATCATAGTGAGAAAAAAACGACAAATAAAAAAAAAAAGAAAATTTGAGAATTGTCATACTTATCCTCTTAATGATTGATTATTGTTGTTATTATTAATATTATAAGTTTGTTTTATTTTATTTTCTTGTTTGGGATGAAAAGATCTTTTTTTTTCTTGGAATAAAAAGAGGAAAATGTTTCTGAAAAAGTCGTCTTGATGTTTTTTTTAAATCTGCACACAAACACTGAACACTCGTCTTTTAAACTCTGCAGCCTCATCTTGACTTCCTTCTCTTTTCTTCCCTCTCCGTCTTTATCTTCAGCTTCCTGGTTTCACTCTTTGACCCGGTTTATTTCTTCCTCCTTTTTTCTGTGCAGGCTGTCAGTCATCAGGGTCATGGGAAAAGTCAAAGCTTGATCCAAAGGTTAGGTTGAAGACGTTTCACTTCCCTGGACTGAAGAAGAAAACGGAGGAGGAGAAACGTCTTTAAGATCTTCAACTGAGTCCAGTTTCCTTTGGATGAAGTTCTGAATGTGTCCACCCCTCCTCCTCTTCTCGTGTCATTCTGTTTTCTGTTTTACTCTCCATCAGTTCTTTAATTACAAAATCTTCCTTTCTTTGTTTTCTTAGTTCTTGACAGGAGCTCTGAGAGGACATCATGCGTCCTCATGCTTTAATGTATTCTGTGTTAACATGTTAACGAGGACATTTCTGTTTTTTTTCTCTAGATTGATCTCATCAAGTCAGGATAATGACGCTTGCTTTCCCGTGAGACAAGTTTTAGTTTTAGTCATTTTCTCGCGATCCCTGGAAATAAACTCATCACCACATCACGACAAATAATTTGAGATCTTGAGAAAACTACTGAGATTGACTCGTTATCACAGGAAACCAGAGTTATCGCAAAATATACGAAAATAAAGTTGAGATTATCAAGAAAACCAAACCGTATAATTTTGAGATAAAGAGATTGAGATTTCAGGGAAAAAAATACTAGGGGAAGAAATTTTGTTTACTTAAGATAACGAGGAAAAAGGCGAGTCCTAGAAACAGCAAAATTATTTTATTGTTTACTCGAGATAATGACATTAATAATCCGGATTTAATTTATACTGAAATGTACTCATTACGGACAAACCTGAGTTATCTGGAGAGAACATGAAACATGAGTTGAGATCTCAAGAAAACAACTAAAATGTACCTGTTATCACAGGGTAACTGCTGGAGTTATCTGGTGATAATGAGACAAGTAAACCCAGATCTCAAGAAACCTTCCAACATTTACCCGTCATGAAGCGGAAACCTGCGTCATCTCAAGAAACAACGTACATTAGTCGAGATTTCAAGAAAAATACTAAATTTTACTAGTTATGAGAAAACCAGCGTTGTTGACTCAAGACAAGCAGATAAATATGTCGAGTTATAAAGAAAACAAACAAAATGTATTTGTTATTGTGAGAAAAACATGTTGATGCCAGGAAAACATCTACAATGTATTAGTTGGGAAACAAGTGTTGTTCACCTTAGATGAGATAAGTCAAGATCTCGAGAAAACAACCAAAATGATCTCGTTATCACGGTGAACGGAGTAAAATAAAAAGTAAGTGAATGTATGTCCGCTAAGGGCTTACCTACTAATTAACTTTAAAAATAATAAATCATTACAGGGCCTTCACAGATCATTGTTATCCACAAATAACGAGATAAATAAGCCGAGATCTTGAGAATGCATCCAAAATGGACTCATTATCATGGGAAGCCTTCACATTTTACATCTCTATTCTCTACCTTTGTGTTCATTGTTTTGATTCCTAAAAACAAGTATGATAAAATGTATGGATGTGTGTCCGATTTGGGCTTCCGTAGAGTTTTGAAAAGGTTGTTGTTTGCTCTTCCACTCTTGTTGAAAATAAAGAATTAAAGTCCTTCAGGTATTTTTCGTCAGGATGCTGTAATAATTTAAGATAAGATAATCCTTTATTTATCCCACAATGGGGAAATTTACATTGTTACAGCAGCAAAGAGATTGCAAACAAAAAGTGAACACAGTACAATTTAAATAAAAAAAAAATAATTAAGAATGTACAAAAAAACTCGATACTAAAAAATATATCTAAAAAAAATATATATATATATTAAAAAAATATATATATATATATATATATATATTAAAAAATATATATATAAAACTAAAAAAATAATAATAATAATAAAACCATCACACGTGTGGGCGACTTGTTGCAGGTAAACGAATCTTAAAGAATTCACGAGAAGTTTCTGGCTCTCTAACCCTGCGGCGGTTAGCTGTCTTTTTTTTCGGACTTTCTTGTAAATTCTCCTGCTGACATATTTATCTTGACAGGAACATGACTCATCGACTGATTAAGCACAGTGGACATTTTAAACCTGCGGCCGCTCGCTCTCGATACCGAGAAAACCCGCTTCTGTGTACGCGCATGCGTGTGAGAGGAAGAGAAAGCGCGCGAATGCGGAGTTAACCGTTGCTCTGTTTCGGTTCACCTCGCGCTCAATGTCTTCGCTTGTGTGTGTGTGTGTGCGTGTGTGTGTGTGTGCGTGCGTGCGTGCGTGTGTGTGTGTGTGTGTGTGTGTTTTGGGGAAACCGCCCTCTTCTTCCCGTCATCAGCTCGAGCTGCTTTGAATTCTACGAATTCCTCATCAGGTTTTTTTTTAAACTGCGACGTCGCTTCAAAACATTGAGCACAAGGTTCGTCGCTGATTGGACAGCGAGGCGGTGTGGGCGTGGCTACAGGAGTAGGCTATAAATACAGAACAAAACATCATCGTAGGTTCAGATCTCAGATAAGGCGGTCAGCTGGAGCTTTTTGGAGAATTTATCAACCGTTTGGGTGTTTATTTTCAACTCTTTAGACTTAGTACAGGGCGAAACTAACTCCTGAAGGCATTTTCTTCACTGGAATTGTATTTAAAAGTTGCAAAGCGGGACAAACCGGGGAAACTGTTACGATTAGTCGGATAAAGTTTAAAACAAAATAAAGTCAAGAGGAATTCTACTAACAACAAGATGGATGTTTCAGCCCAGACTCTCTAAAAAACTTCCAGAAAATGTTGGACAAACGAGCTGTGGATATTCATCTGGAGGAGGAAGCTGGAGGGAAAAACGGTGAGATAAAAAAGTATTATAAAAGTGAAGTGAAATATTCAAATGAACGTGTTTGTTGTGTAAAGTGATGACATGTAAACAAAGCTGGAGACCTACCGGAAGTGCATTATCAACCTGAAAACATGACAGGCTTAATCACACTTTAACTGTGTATGTGTGTTTTAAAGGCTAATACCTGATTACAAAACCTGATTAAAAAAACAACGATTTTTAAACGTCCGTATTAACGTCACAACGCGGCGTGTTTGTCACCGTGGACTGTGTCACGCTGTGTGTTTTACAGAAGTCAAAGAGAGCCACAGCAGAAATAAATAATGAGGAGGTTTTATTTTGTCATTTTGCACTCTGAGAAAAAAGTCAAATATCAATATGAAATGAAAATCAAATTTCAAAGATACAATTTTGCTTTTTTCCCAACTTTACGACTCTTTCCTGACAATTCAACTTTATTTCCAAATGTTTCTACATTGTTGTCGACACTTTGACTTAATTTGTTCCATTTGAAGTTTTCTCCCCAGGTATTTCTAATGTATTCTTGAAATTGTATTTTAGCTTTATTCACGATATTTTGACAAAAACAAGTATTTCAAAGGAATTCTCGAAATGTATTTAGAAATTCAGAAATTTCAAATTGTATTTTAATTTATGACCTACACTTTGACTTCATTCTCAAAATCGTATTTGAGCTCTATTCTCCATATTTCGCCCATTTTTAGATCTTCGTCTTATCTTTGTTTATTTCTCGTGTCTACTCCTTTAACGTCTCGTATTTTAAAAACAACATGAAGGAGAAACGTTTGAAACACCTTTAAAAACTTCATGTGATTCTGTTTCATCGTGGTCAAACAGGGTGAACAAGAGATTATTTAGTCTGAATATTTAAACTGAAATTTGACCCCGGAGTTTGAGCTGAAAGTGAAATCGTACTCCCTGCTGTGTTTGTCTAACAACAAGCACGGACACATTGATAACACAGCACGGGGACGGGAGGGAAGTTATCATTAAACATTTCCTTCTTGCAGCGAGCAGGCTGTTCAGATATCATCCATCGCTGCACGCTCCCGTCTCTTATTCAAAACATTTCCTCATTACTCGGTGGAAGGCGTTGAAGGCAGCAGTATGTTGCTTGTTTGTTGTTGGAGACGGCTGTGTTGTAAACAAAGACAAACAGCAGCTGACTGATGTGTGTGTGTTTGTGTTTCAGTGAAGGAAGTGTTCTGCTCTCAGTATCAGTGTGGCTCTCTGCTCGGCAGCGGGGGGTTCGGCTCGGTGTTTTCAGGACAGAGACTCTCTGATGGACTTCAGGTCAGACATCAAACATTTCATCTCTTCTTCTTCATGTGTTCATGTCTGTGTTTCCTCTTTGTTTACGTCTCCTGTGAAGCAGTCAGTGTTCACTCCCTCTAAAATATGACTAAAACTCTGTTATTGTCATGATCAATGGTATCCAAGAGTACCCAAAAAACATCTGTTTCATGAGACAGGTGAGAAGGAGAGGACGAACCAATCAGAAACCTGCAGAAAGATTTCTGCACACTGGATATGTTTTTGTGCAATTAAGACATTATGCATTGGTCTGTCTGCAGATTTTGATGATTAAAAACAAGAACCCCCCCCAACACTAAGTGCTTCTGTTGCTCTGTTATCAGAACAGGAATCGATAAAGTTTTATTCTTACTAGAGGCGTATCAGAGTTTAAATTCTGGATCATCAGTCGCTCCGTCTGTGAATTAAACTTTGTGTCCTTTTTGTCCATGCAGGTTGCCATCAAACAGATCACCAGGGACAGAGTTCAGCAGTGGGCGAGACTGGTGAGTGTGTAAAAAAAACATTTCTTTATTTCCTTTTTCTCTTAAGTCTAAAGTCGATCAAATGTAAGAAAGTCGTCTCTCGGAGGTTAAACGTCGTCGTGATCGTCGGATCAGGTTTAATGTTTCAGACGCTGCAGAGAGAAGTTCAGCACAGGTAGTTTTGTTTCCCTGTAGAGGAAACCTCAGGTCAACTCCGCCCCCTGCTGGAGGGACAGCTGTACTACAGCTGTGGGTGGGGGCTGGCCCCTGGTTCCCACGGAAACCTGTGATGTCACTGCTCGGAAAATGACACTGAAGGTTTTCCCCCTCAGTGTCAAACTCATGTTTTAATCATCAGGTTTTACCAGGGAGTCCCCCTCTCTCCCCCCCCCCCCCCCCCCCTCACCACCACAAAAAACACCTGCAGAGACAGAGTCAGGGAAAAAACACAGAGAGAGAGAAAACAAAAATAATTTCATGCAAATTAAAAATATATATATATATGGAAAACAAGAATTTGGTATCACATTAAAAATGGCTCCAGGTTGTTTGTGTGACAAAACATTGATCTCATATTTTTCATCTCCCCCTCAGCCGGGCGTGGTCGGTCCCGTTCCCATGGAGATCGCTCTGCTGCAGCGACTGTCCGAGGTCGGGGGTCACAGCGGCGTGGTGCGCATGCTGGACTGGTTCGAGGTGGAGGGGCGGGGCTTCCTGCTGGTGCTGGAGCGACCGCCTCAGTGTCAGGATCTGTTCGACTTCATCACGGAGAGAGGAGCGCTGCCCGAACGCCTCGCACTCCGGTACTACTTCCTGTTCCTCTGACTCTGTTTTCAGTAACGTTTTGTTTTCACATATCGAAGTTTTAACGTTCCCTGTTTGTCCGTCAGGTTCTTCCGTCAGATCGTGGAGGCGCTGCAGGTCGTTCACGCTCACGGCGTTGTGCACAGAGACATCAAGGACGAGAACATCGTGGTGGACACGAGGTCGCTCGAGGTCAAAATCATCGACTTTGGGTCAGGAGCGCCGCTCAAAGAGACGCCGTACAACGAGTTCGAAGGTACAGAGAGAAACGTTACGATAGGAGGATTTAATCGTTTAACTTTGTGACACATTAAAGAGTCGAGTCGCTAACCGCCATCTTCTCGCGTCCTCAGGGACTCGGGTCTACAGTCCTCCCGAGTGGATCGTGTCGCAGTCGTACGAGGCCGTCTCTCTCACCGTCTGGTCGCTGGGCGTGCTGCTCTTCGACATGGTGTGCGGCGACATCCCGTTCGAGCGAGACCAAGAGATCGTCGGGGCCACGCCCATTTTCACCAGACGGGTTTCTAAAGGTGAGTCGAGACTCCGCTCCTTCTAGCCTCTCTGAACTCTGATTGGCTCATCAGAAACGTTTGATGCTTGTTTGATGTATTTAAAACGATACAATCTTCTGTTGTGACAGAATGTCAGTCTCTGATTCGCTGGTGTCTGTCCTACCGACCGGAGGAGCGCCCCTCCCTGGAGGAGATCCTGACTCACCCCTGGATGGAGGGAGGAGAGGAGGAGGAGGGAGGAGACCTGCAGGAGGACCACAGCTCTCTGCCGGCTCAGTCCCTGTGATGCCGCAACCCTGACCATGAACGGCTCTGGTCAGAATAAAACCAACCCTGAGCTCGCAGGTCTCTGGACTCAGTCACTGTGACAGAACTGTGGACGGTCTGAGACAGGACTCTGGACTCTTTGGTGCACCACACTGGGATGGTGTAGTGCTCTGCTCAGCCAGCAGGGCGGCGACACAAAAACCTCACACTGGATTTAGAAAGGATCAGCAGTGTTTTCATGCTTGAACCTCGTTACCTAAAGCTTCACAGAGACGCATCACAGAGGGAGGAGAGGCTGAAGTCCTCACTGAGGTCCTCATACGTACACTGATGAATTCTTTAACGAGGTGAAAACACTGCTGTGATCCTCTGACGGCCTCTGCTCTTAAGAAAACTAATTTATTTCTGCCTAAGTTTGTGGTCGAGCTGCAGTCGGCGGCTCTCTCTCTTTATTTATCTCTGTTGGTGGAAGAAGCAGCTTTGTTGCCATGACAACGTGTTGTTGCTGTATTTATTGAGTATTTATTTTTGCTGAGGATGTCGGCAGGTCGTTTCATATTTTTTTCTTTTTTTTTTCTTCCTTCCAGCTCCATCAGAGAACTCTCGTTCTGGTTTTTGTTCTTCAAACACTAGTTTACATTTTTGGCAAAAAAAACAAAAACCTCTAGTGTCAAAAATACAGAAATAATCTACATTAAAGGAGCAGTATGTAACTCTGCCCCCTAGTGTTTAAAATGGGTACTGCAGTCTAAATTCTAAACACCATAGAGATCCAGCTCTGCATGGGTCTGTAAACCTTTCTGTGTTCTAACCTCTCTCCATTTTTCAAAAGCATCTCCAATATTGATCCTAGTTTGAGCACGTTTCTGCTCGTGGAGCTTATTAGAAACATGCAGAGGCTTTTTAGGTCGGGTACAATCACTTCTATCTGAACCACTTCTCTTGACCGCTTCCATCGCTGCAACACTCACTACACAGCTCACTGATTGGACCTTTACATTTGAATGATTTTGCATCCTTTCAGTTTATTTCCTGCTTTTTGTGCAGACGTTCCCCTGACCTCATTCTGCATCGTTCAATCAGATTGAACTATTTACTGATGTTGTCACAAAATGTTTGATATTTTTTCCAAACCATGTTTTAAAAAAAAGAAACATCTCTTTTATTTTATTGATCAATGTGATCAAAACAAACTGCGTCTGTTTCATGAGACAGGAGAGGAAAGAATCCAAAACAAAATGGCGGACAAACACCTGCACACTTTCTGAATTCAGACGCTGTGCAGGAAGTATTCTTCACTGAGAAACAAAGAGACCAAACATTGGGTGTTTAAGGCGTCTGTTTCTGTTGCCATGGTTTCAAACAGGATTTATCTCAAAGTTAATCGTTCTGATATCGTGATATGACAATACAGCGATATCGTACTGCAGCTTTAAAACGATCGTATTCGACCCTGCCGTACTTTAAAAACATGAGACAGGACCTAAAGACCACACTGAGGGTAAACTTACGCCTCCGGCTGCTGTGTAGCTTAGCTTGTAGCATCTAAAGCTGTGGTGTGAGCAGGGCATCAGGCGATGATCTGATTGGCTGGTGGAGTCAGGCAGCGGAGAGGAGGGGGCGTGTCCATCAGGTGCTGATGACACTTGTTGCTCATAATGTTTGGTTGAGAAAACATTAAAAATGTAAAATGATGGTACACTCATCTCTACGTAGAGTCGACCGATGACGACCTGAATTTAATTTAATTTTTATTGTTTTGATCAGTTTTTTGATTTCCCTCCTTGTTTCTGGTGTCACTCTGGATCTGATTCAGATCTAAATGGGAGAATGTGGTTGGTGGTGATGTCGTCCTGCCGGTGTCCGGGCGTGATGTCACTGTAAATACTTGTGTATTATTGGCTGGTTCAGACATCAAAGTGGCTCGTTGGGTCACTTGTTTCTGTTTATTTACATTAAATAAGAATTTATGGATCAAGAGAAAAAAAGATCCGACGGTTTAATAAAACACGTTTCTCTCACTGCATCACGTTGTGTTTCTCTCTGTTCTGATATCTGCCGCTGGGGGACAATTATTTTACATCCATCCATCATCACATGGAACATGAGCCGACCAGCTGTCATTGGACGAGAGGCTAAAGTCCAGTTTACAGTGGCCGTGGGTTCAATTCCAACCTCATCCCTCTGCTGCACTTCGTCCCCCCGCTCTCTCTCCTCCCAACATTTCCTGTCTCTCTCCCTTTCCTATCTAATAAAGGTTAAAGGCCCTGACAAATTACTGAACAAAATAAAAACAACTAAAAAAATTGATCTGAGACTCCGTGAAACTGTTGTTCCTGTTTTAACCAGCAGGTGGCGCTGACTATGAACATTTTACAGGTGAGGTGTTCACCCAACAGCCAATAGGATCCCCTCATTTTCATCCTGAAGAACAAGGAAGTGATTGTTGTTGGCAGGATCAGAGAGGAGAATGAGAGAGACAGAGGTGTCACTCTGATGTTTAATCAGAGCGTTATTGTGTTACAGCTCGGTTTATTAAAATGTGTCAATATTTCTATTTTTATATCAATAAAAGAAAACTATATGGATATTTTTCAATATTTTATGGGACTTATATATATTTTTATAAAAAGTAGTATATCATAATAACTTTGTTTTTGGCATTTTTAATAACACAGAGCAAACAATAACAACCAAAACCAAGTAGAGAAACATAATAAATAAATACTAAAGGATACCAAATAAGTGTTGTTATCATTTAATAAGGAAAAACATCTATCTATTTATTTATTCATTTGTATTTTACTGTATTCTGTTTATGTTGCTGCATTTGGGTACAGTAACCCGGAAGTAACCATATTTTCCCTCAGAGTGAGACCTCTTCTCAGTCAGTTGGTCCTATCTCTGCAGCACTAGTTGGTACAGTTGGGCAGCTCGGAGCTTCGCGGATTGTTTCCACCCAGGAGAACCTGGAGAACCTCCGCCGGTTCTCTTAACCTCAGCTCCGGTGTAACGTCAACCCTGACGGACCCTCCGCTCTACCCTGAAGAACACACCTGGGCTCGGTGCACCTGTTCCGGTCGGGTCTTCACTGTGAGCCGGAGCTAGCTGAGCTGGAAGGCTAGCGGGGCGTTAGCAGAGCAGGCAGCGGGGTGAAGGCTCGGTCCGGACGGCAGCATGGCCGCGGGGAGCCTCAGCCAGGCGGCGGAGGAGAAGGTAGCGAGCCGGAGCCAGAGCGAAGGTACGGGGGTCCGGGGGGGTCCGGGGGGGTCCGGGGGGTCCGGGGTGGTGAGAGCCACTAACAGGGACAGGACTTAACAACACCCGGCCCGAGCTGACGACAGAGCTGAACGAATATCTAAAATAGTTTATTGTGATAATTTCAAAATAAAACCACAAAGATCGTCTATTTTTAAACACTCACAGTGCTGTTGGAGAAGCAAACTAGCGGCTGAAGTCACCAAACATAGCTGACTTAACGCGCGTTTCTTTCTGATATTAGTTAACTCATATGATCATAAACTAAAGTAAACTGTGATGGAAACAATTGTATAGGTTTAATAAGTTAAATAGATACCTTAATTATAATCTAAATTGTTAGCAGGAAGCAGCTGCAAACTTCACAGTTTAGCAGTTTTGAAGAAGTTGTTCTGCAGCCTTCTGAGCCTCCACTGTTAGTCAACGTGTTTGTGTGTATAAACTCAACCTACACTGCTAATGCTAACACGCTACTGAACATTACAATTCAAGGTTTAATTAAGGAGCTTAATGTGAATAAATATCATCAGGCTGTCAGAGAGCTGGCAGCTGGTGACGTGGAGGTTTTGGACGAGGAGGAGGGTGATGGTCAGAAAAACACACACACACACACACACACACACACACACACATCCATTATTCTTATTCTTAGGGTGGTCACACCTGTATTTAAGCAGGTATGACTCACCTTCAGGTTTGTCCACATTCAGGCTGTGTTGTTTTTACAGGTTTCACACACTTCTGCAGGCTGTAAACACTTAATGGAGGTATTTGAGAGTTTACAGTAACTTGTTTTTTTATTTTGAAGTCTGTAAACTGGAGATTTAATTCATTTTGGAAACACTTCTCTACATGACATCATGTTTTCATCGCCACAGCAAACAATTCTCCCAATGTGATGACAAAAAAAAAAACAGACAGTCTGCGCTTATAAAACATCCGTCCAATAAGGCTGTTGAACTTTAGCAACTTTGCGTCATGGATTTTAAAATCTCTGATCAATGGCATCGAAAAGGACAAAAGCTTTTTTAGTTTCATAAATCTGTTGCATTTTTGCAATTTAGACAGAAGAGACATTTTCAGCATTTAGCTTCACAGAAAAATATTCAACTTTCTGCATCCAAAGAGTTCACTTAAAGGTCTCATATCCTCCTCCTCATCAGTTTAAATAAGTCTCAGAGCTCCTCAAAACATGTGTGTGAAGTTTCTTGTTCTAAATCCACTCTGATCCTGTATTTGATCATGTCTATAAACCCCTCTATTTCAGCCCTGCTCAGACCAGGCTGTTTCTGTGTCTGTACCTTTAAATATGTAAATGAGCTGTGTCTGACCACGCCCCCTCTCTGGAAGGGCTTGGATGTGCTCGGTCTTTCTCGCTCCATGTCCTATTGTTTACGGTGAGAAGGCAGACTCAGAGGGCAGAACAACACCTAGCTGTGGGAGTGTCACCCACCTGGGGGAGGGGCTACTGCCCTTTGTGATGTCATGAAGGGAAAATCTCCAAACGGCCTGTTTGAGCACACATTTTCTGAAAAGTGGAGCAGGCAGAAGACGGAGAGGATGGACTTTTCTCATCATTGGGGGGTTTGTAGACGGACTAGAGACACATGTTAGAGTTAGAGGAACATGGGAAGAGGATTTAATTTAGCCTTTATTGGAGAGGACAGAGTAGGCTGTGATATTGAACCCTTTTGATTTGACGTGTGTGTGTGTGTGTGTGCGTGTGTGTTTGTGTGTGTGTGTGTGTAGTGAACAGGAGGTTGAAGTACATCAGCCTGGCCGTGCTCGTGGTCCAGAATGCATCGCTCATCCTCAGCATCCGATACGTCCGCACGTTGCCCGGCGACCGCTTCTTCACCACGTCGGCCGTGGTGATGGCGGAGGTGCTGAAGGTGCTGACGTGTCTGCTCATCGTCCTGCTGCAGAAGAGATGTAAGAGCGGGCGCCACGGTGACAAATAATAACGATACTTATTCAATATGACACAATCATTGTGTCTCTCTCTCTCTCTCTCTCTCTCTCTCTCTCTCTCTCCCCCCCTCTCTTAGTCAACCTTAAAGAGACGGCGTTCTTACTCTTCGACTCCATCGTGGTTCAGTATAAAGACACTCTGAAACTCGCCGTTCCTTCGCTCATTTACACGCTGCAGAACAACCTGCAGTACATCGCCATCTCCAACCTGCCGGCCGCCACCTTCCAGGTGACGTACCAGCTGAAGATCCTGACCACGGCTCTGTTCAGCGTCATGATGTTGAGGAAGTCTCTGTCCAGAGTTCAGTGGGTTTCTCTGCTGCTGCTGTTTGGAGGAGTCGCCATCGTACAGGTACGTCCTTCACCTGTACCAACACCCTGCGAGGTCACGACCAGAATAACTATTGAGCTCAACAG